AAAAGATTTCTGCCTGCAAGCAGTCTTTCCCACTGTGCTCGATGACCTCGTTTTTCAGCTGCAAATTCAGCTGAAAAGGTAAAATTAAAAAAAAACAACGGGTAGAATGTGTCTTATTTTTGTGGTTGAGAGAAGACATAAAACCATAGATTAAGGAGTGTGACAGCTAGGCTAATTTCTACATATTCTAAACCACTGGGGGACACGACTGAGTCCGTAAGACTGGGCTCACAGAAGTACGTGCTTGAGGTTTCTTCAACTCTCGGGTTGAATTAAAAGCCCATGGAAGTAGAAATCATGGGACCTAGATTCTGGCCCTATCTGTTAGGTAACTCTGGGAAGACAGATTCCCAGTGTTGCCCCCCTTGGCCTCCTCTGCCCCCTCTCAGCACATTTACCTCACTTAGCCAGGGCAATCTTTTCCAAACATAAGTTGCTCCTGGCTTGAAACCCTCAATGACTGCCATTCCTCACAGGACAAAGATGGACGTCTGAGCAGGGCCACGAGGCTCCGGATGGGCTCACCCTAGGCTCACCCTGCAGCCCAGCTCACAGCTCCCTCTTCCGTGTCCCTCTGGCCTGGCCACGCTTTCACTTTTCACTCATGACAAGCTGTCCACTGCAGAGCCTTCCCCCTCCACTTACCCACCGAAATCCCATTTCCCCTTCAGTTTTCAGCTCAATATTCACTTTCGTTCCAGTTACTGTTGCTGTGAGCAACCATTCCAAAACTCAAGACAACAAATGCACTTCACTCGCAGATCTGCACCTTGGATAAAGCAAGTGGGGAAGAATTGTCCCTAGCGCTCCTGGGGCAGCTGGAAGGGTCCTTCTCCAAGACGGCTCATTCTCATGGGTGGCCACGTGGGGCTGGCTGTAGGCTGTGAGCTCAGCCAGGGCCGAGGCCCACGGACTTGCTTCCCCTCCCTGTGAGTCTCTTCATAGGCTGCCAGCTTCCTCACAGCATGCCAGTGGCTGGGTTTGCTAACAGGAGAGGCTGCCCGTTCCTAAGCCTGCAGGTGGAAACGACTGATGTTGCATCAGATGGGCTCAGGCCGCTGTCCTCTCTCCACCCTGCTCCCCTCTCCTCTCCATACTGATCACCCCACTCCAGTCAAACAACTTCTTGGGGTCTCTAAATAGAACAGCACCTCAGGATATTTGCACTTCTCCTTCCTTCTATACAGAATGCTCTGCCCCTGGACATCTGAACAACTCACTCCCTTACACTCTGCAGAATTTTATCAAATGTCACCCTCTCAGTGACATCTTCCCCAATCACCCTATTTAAAATTGCAACTCCCAGTCCTCCTAGTACTTCCAAGCCCCCTTCTCTGTTTTCTTCTCCCCATAAGATGAATTACTATCTAGTAGTTGGGGGAGGGCAGAGGAAGGTCAGCAGACTCTAGCCCTTCGGCCAGACCCCAGGTTTGTTTTGTAAATAAAGTTTTATTGGAACACCGCCATTTACATATTGTTCACATATTGTCAATGGCTTCGTTCATGCTACTAAGTAGTTGTGACATAGACCGTATGTCATACATATTTGTCTGGCCCTCTAAAACATTTCTGACCCCTAGTCTAGTTCATGACTGAGTACAACACACACTTTCCCAAGGTATCTTGTTTATTCTGTTTGCTCCTCTACTAGAATATGTGCTCCACGAGAGAAGAGGTTTTTATACGCTCTGTTCATCGGCTGCCTCTAGAATCCCCATCTCTAGAGCAGGAATTATTGCCTGGCATGTAGTAGGTGCCCACTCATATCTACCAAATAAAACCTGGCGAGACAGAAGACGTTTAAAACTGCTGCTTATCATTCACCCGGTTGCTCTCTGCTTTCCTTCAGCACGTATGATGAGGAGAAGATCAAGAAGACGGGGCCCGCAGTCACGCCTCACCCGTTCACCCCCGTGCACAGCTGCATCATTTTGCCCTCGCTTCCTGAAGCTCACATGTAAGTAGAGTCTCACCTCTGGCACACCTGCCTTGCTAGCTTATCAGTCCAAGCCAAGGTGACATGACTTACAGGGCTAACAACTGTCGGGAACTGTTGGGCTGGTCCTTTGTCCTCTTGAAAGGGACATGGAGCCTGAAGCCGGCAATGCCATTTGGCGTGTAAAAATAACAGAAGCAGACACGGTGCTTTAGAGCTACATGGCAAATCAGCTGGGACTGAGTCACTCCATTCCTTACCAAGCCAAACGCTCTGATGTGAAATGGTTTGCAAAACCCGATAAAATCTGTCTACAGCCCTCACTGAGCCTGTGGGGACAATGTCTCAGCCATGGCCCAGGGGAGGAGCTGTTTCCCAGAGAGGCCTCTGCCGTCTTCTGACCCGAGGCATGAACTCATCCCTGCACGGTGCAACGGGGCTAATCACCCATCCAAAGAGCACCCTGGCTTTCTAAAACCTTGGCTTCGTCTTCCTCTTGTGTCTGTTGCAAAGAATTCCAAACCCAACCTTTTCTGTTTTGCTAGTTAGCATTTTTCAACTGGAAGATTTCAGGCACAGAGTTAGAAACTTTAGGACAGGGTTTGTCATCCACCAAAAAATTGGCATTTTGGGTGGATAATTCTTTGTTGTGAGGGACTGTCCTGTGTATCCTAGGGTACTTGGCAGCAGCCATGGCCTGTATGTACTTGATGCCAGTAGCCTCTGTTTCCCCAGCTGTGACAACCAAATTATCTCCAGTCATTAATAAATATCTCCTGGGGGCAAAATCATACCCACGCCCTGCACCCCTGTTAAGGACCACTGATCTAGGGCAGTGAAAATGGTGTAATGGATTCTGACTTCTTGGTCTGCTCAGTTGTCACATATTTATTAGGTCCCTATGGAGTGCACACTAATAATGGCACTACTGACCACTCTAGGCATTCTCTCAGTCAGTCCTCTCAACAGCCCTTTGGGTAAGTATATTATTATCCCCTCTGTGCAGATGAGAAAGCAGAAGTTCAGAGAGGTATGCTCACCTGCCCAAGGTCACAGAGCTCAGTGTATCACTGAACTAGGGTTTTAAGCCAAGTCTGACTTCAGAGCCCAAACTGTCATCACCACACACCACAAAGAAAGTACATCCCAAGGCCTTGCCTTTGAAGAGCTCATAATGTATTTGGAGAACCAAGTCTCGTGCACTTGAAGAGTAAAACAATGCAAGAACAAAATCATAGGACAATATGGCAGACAAAAAGAGTCATTCATAAGAGCACTTAGTTCCTGGATGGAAGACACCACCATCACCATGGCCACCATTGACATCATTATCATCAACATCCCCCCCAACATTACAGATTTTGATGAGCTCCGCTCCCCGCTTTTCTCCTACTTCCCTTTGATTGATATTATGATTGGCTTCTTGATAGACTATTTGTTCAGGGACATCCAACTGGCAGCTTAAATGATATGTTTTTAAAACATCTCCTTGCAAAACTAGGCCTTGCAATTCTCATCATGTCCCTTGGGAACACTTGCACCTCTGCTTGGCTCTCCCATGTACCAGCCCCTGGAACCTAGTGGTGTGGATTAGTGGTTCTTAGGCAACTGAACCATCTGGGGTGGGAGAACGGGGCAGGGTGGGGAAGAAGGAGGGGGTGCTTGAAAATGCATATTCCTGGGCTCCACCCTCAGTTCTTTTTTTCTAAGCAAAGTGAAGCTTAAATCAACCTTGGAAACGATGGAGTGTTTCTTGCTCATTTTCCTTCAATGCCAGATGGGGAAACTAAAACCCAGAGAAAGGGCAGAACCTGCCAAATTTCTCACAACAGGAATTCTGATCTCCTGACTAAGTCAGGTCTTTATACCAGGTTTGTTAGATAGGTTATTATTATTATTATTTGTTTGTTAATTTATTATTATCACAGTGAACTTCTGAAGGGGAAGACAGTAAATATTTCAGCCTTTGTAAACCGGATGGTCTCTCTTGCAACTACTTAGCTTTGTCATTGAGGCATGAAAGCTACAGTGAATGGATGTGGCTGTGTTCCAATAAAGTTTTATTTGCACACACAGGCAGTAGGTCCACTAGCTGTAGTTTACTAACCCCTGCCTGAGACTGAAGGCTTCCCTTTTCTCAACTTGACTGTTAAAGAGCTCCTGCTGCATTTGATTACTAGATCAGTAATCTGTTGCTTTATTACAGGCCACCTCAAAATGAAATGGCTTAAAACACCCACCATTTATTATTGCTCACAAGTCTGCAGGTCAGCTGGGTGGCTCTGCTGGTCCAGATTGGCTTGAGTGATCTTGGGTGGGCTTGTGTATGTGTACACCCAGCCGATGGCTGAGCAGGAGGGTGGTCCATCTAGGATGGTCTCACTCATGAGTCTATTGGTTGACAAGTTGTCAGCCAAGGTGACAGGAGTAACTGAGCCGCATGTCCTTCATCATGCTAGGCTAGCCCAGACTCGTTTCCATGGCAGTCTGCCTCTAAGAACAGGAGCCTGAGCAAGACTTGGGCTCAGAATGGACACAGTGATGCTTGTAACATGCTCTCTTGGCCAAAGCAAGAACGTCAAGCCAGCCCAGATACAAGGACTGGGGAAAGGCCACTTTTTGACAGGGGAGATGAAAAATCACATTGCAAAGTGTGTGCATGCAGGGTGGGGTGGAGAATGGGGACATTATTGTAATCAGTCAAGCAAAAAGGCATCAGGACAAGGCCTTCCTGGTCGATTCCCAAATTCTCAGTCATCACATCAGCTGATGTGGATGAGAACCTAATCGATCTCCTCAATCCTGATATAGCTGATCCTAAAAATTCAGCTGAAAATTCTCAACTGACTGTGGAGCGACAATTCACCTTTATCTTTAAAAGGGTGGGGGGAGTGGTCACTAGGATGAGAAACAGCCTCTCCTTTCCTCTCTGAGATGCTGGGGCTGTCCCTCCCAGCCTGTGCCCCAAGAGCTACCGTGCCCCAAGATCATTGCCTGCCACCTGTCCTGGTCTGCTTGAGGCAATGGGCACAAGGCGGCTGGAATGCCTTTGGACGCGTTTTCCCATCCCTCTCAGTAAAGGACAAGAACATTGTCATCTTCTCACTCACTCTGCTGAGCCTCTGCGCTCAGTTCTGAGCCCAGGGGTTTTAGAAGCAGGCTCTGTGCACGCTTGTTCAGCATTTTCATCTGTTATGCCCTGCGTTTAAGAACATAAATGCTTTCTCTGTTAATTTGATAAAATCCAAGATACTGTGCTTATGACCTGACATAATCAAGGGAAAGGACTGGCTTCCATCAAGCATGCTCCTGGGGACATTTTTTCTTTTTTTCAGTTTGCTTCACCGCGCACTAGATGAATAGTCATCCGGCTTGAGGCACTTCTTTTTTCATTAAGACTTCATTTCTTTCTTTAGCAATTTTAGAGTCAGAGCAAAATTGAGTGGAAGGAACATAGATTCCCACACACTCCCTGTCTCCCTCTGCCTTCTCCACTGTCAACATCCCACACCAGAGGGGGACATTGTTACCATCAATGAACCTACGATGACACGTCAGTGTCACCCAGAGTCCCTGGTTTACATTCAGGTTCACTCTTGGTGTGTGTGTTCTACAGGTCTGGACAAGTGTATAATGACGTGTAGGCTACAGAATAGTTCCACTGCTCTAAAAATCCTCTGTGCTACACCTATTCATCCCTCCCTCCCTGCTAACCTCGGCTGCCACAGATCCTTTTACTGTCTCCATAGTTTTTTCTTTTCCAAGATGTCACAGAGTTGGAATCATACAGCATGTAGCCTTTTCAGACTGGCTCCTTTCACTTAGTAACATGCATTTAAATTTCCTCCATGTCTTTTATTGGCTTGGTAGTTCAATTTATCCATTCACCTACTGAAGCACATCATGGTTGCTTCCAAGTTTTGGCAATTATAAATGAAGCTGTTATAACCATCCATGTGCAGGTTTTTGTGAGGCACTTTTTATAAATAGAGAATAGAGTCCAGCTGCTTTGAAAGAAACCCTACTCTGGCGAAAAGGGAGGTCTCTGCCCTGTAACAAAGGATAATATCAATATGGCAGTTAAAGCACAAATCCAGAAACCAGACTTCCTGGGTTCAGGCTCCAGCTTTGCCATTTGCTGGCTTTTCTGACCTTGGGTAAGGTCTGGACAGATGTATAATGACGTGTACTCACCATTACTGTAGGCTACAGAATAGTTTCACTGCTCCAAAAATCCTCTGTGCTACACCTATTCATCCCTCCCTCCCTGCTAACCTCTGGCCACCACAGATCCTCTTACTGTCTCCATAGTTTTGCCTTTTCTTGGGTAAGTTACATGGCCTCAGTTTCCTCATCTGCACGATGGGGACATTAACAGTACCTTCCTCACATGGTGCTCTAAGGATTACATGAGTTAATGGATCTAGAGCACTTAAAATGGTGTCTGGCACAGGCCTGCTGGGCCTTTCCAAGAAAAGAGAGGACATCTCTCCAGTCCTTTCACCACTTCCAGGGTTAAGTGAGGTGCCAAGCACATGGCAAGGCTGGCTGTTGCTCTTGGCAAAATGCCTGACATGGCTCAGCACCCAGAGCCGCCAACATGCAGTTGCCCACAGGGCCGAGGTGGTGTGCAGGGGGGGCAGACCAGAACGGGAGGGACATGGGCCTGCAGGTCCTCTAAATGAGAAGCAAGGGAACAGCAGGTGTTAGAGATAATTTGTGGAAGAAAAGGAAGGAGGAAGGAGGGGCTCCAGAGAAGAGACTAGAGGGTTGCTAACTCTGGTTTTCCAAAACCTGGTGGACACAACCATCCTCACAGGCTGTGAAGGTGGGGTGAGGTGCAGGCAGTTCTCCTTGGAGCTGAGGGAAATGGGCACCTCTCGAGGGATTCGCCTGGATACCCCTGGCTCACCTCCGTGGTTGGGCCCCACCTCCCAAGGTGGTGCCTTCCTGGAAGCAGAGGGGGTGGGTTCCTTCCTACTGCTCTGAGCATCACGCCCGGAACCCTGGGGAGTATTGATCAAGACAGGATGCAACTTCAGAGTAGAGCAATTAAACAGGTTCATAATGGAGGCATCTCACCCATTAGAGTAAGAGAGGAAATCATGCGGTGAGCGGGTGGCTGGTCAGGACTCTATTTTGTTCCAGGAAAAGTGCAGGCAGCAGATTAACCCTCCCCTGACCTCACTCTCAGGGTGACCATGCACTGGCTCTGTCAGCACCTCGAACACTGAGAGCTCAGGCCCATGAGAGCACAGCCTCTGGAGTTAAGCAGCTCGGGGCTGAATCTGCACCAATCCTGGGAGTGTGACCTCTGCCAACTCGCTTTATCACTCTGAGCTCAGGTCCCTCACCTGTAAAGAGAACATGACAGCAGTACTCTCCTGAGAGTGTTGTTGAGAGCATCAAATGACATATTCATACCCCGTCTCTGTCACCAACAAGCTGCGTGACTAGAGCAAAGGGATTCCACCTCTCTGAAATGTGGGTAATGATTCATACCCCAGCAGGTTGTTGGGAGAATCAAATGATGTGTGTAAAGTGTCCTAGTCAATGTTTGGCTCGTAATACAAGGTGCCCCCCAAAATCAGAAAATACAGGTAAGACATATTTGTATATGGCGTGTTTAAGTTATATTTTCAAATAATATGTTCAATGTATTTTTTTCTTCAACATCCAGTTACATTTTCAGGGCAAAGAAGCTATAATTAAACAATATAATTAAATAATTAAATAATATAATTAAACATCTCCAATGTTTATCTGGGGAGAGAAAAAAGATAACAAAAGTTTACACTAGATTATACTAGATATAGCAGTTTCCCTGTGTTTCCAGACGTCTCTGACACTTAGTCCACTTAGGGTACCTTTATCAGATAAACCGTTGGCTATCTGTAAGATGTTCATCTCTTTCAGTCACCTCGTTTGCTCGAGTCAAGACCCCTTGCTGGGGGACCCTTCCATCATCTCTCCCTTCTACGCATAAAAACTCCCAGTAGCTTATAGGAGCATCTTGTGTCACCTCCTAGCCTAGTGCCCTGGCCCACGTTCCTTAACTCCACTGAACCTCAGATTCCTCATATGTAAAATAGGACCAGTGAACAGTCATGGGCCTGCTGCAAAGGTTTAATGAGACAATGTACAGGAAACACTCCCATATGCCTGGAGCAACGCAGAGCTCTCCAAGTGGCAGCCAGCACAACTTCTACCTCCATTGCCATTATTATGAAGAATGTTCTTCTAACAGGATCTCACTGTGCTCCCTCTCTCTGTTTTTGCAGGGAGCCCCTCTTCCGCCAGCTCTGTGCCCTCCACTGGCTTCTGGAGGCCCTGACTATTGACCACACCCACCACACCATGAAGCCTGTGATCACCTGCTGGAATCCAAAGTAGGTCTCAGTCCTTTGACCTGCTGGGGGTTGGGAAACGAGGAAGGGGAAGGCTTCTGTGTGTTCTTCCCCCCCTTCTGCTACCTTTGGTGGGTGGGGTGCTTTATTCTCCTGTGTGCTCTGTGGGATGCAAACAAGAGTGAGCTGGAGCCAGGGCGTACAGGTCCCTGTGAGCATCTCCTCCCAACTCCACATTCAGTGACAGCACATGGGAAGCGGGAAATCTACCAGCCACGGCGGGAGTATTCACACCACAGAGACTGGCCGGCTAGACCAGCACACTGCTGGATGCACAGCTAGGTTTCTCTCCAGCTCTCTTCTTGGACTGTGTCTCTCCAACACTGTTCTTTCTTTGCTTCTCCTTCTGTCCCTCTTTCCCCCTCCCTTGTCCTCTTTCCTTTCCCTGTGTTCTTGGTTTTCTCCTTTCTCTCCAAGTTTTTCCTTTTTCTTTTTTTAAAATATATATTGGTGGCTGTTTCTCCAGTTGGAGCAAAGCCCGAGAACATGTGGTCCAGGCCAAGGAAAGTGGTGGGTGTGTTCCCAGCAGAGGGGAGGGCTGCTGCCAAGGCCCCAAATCCACTCTAGCAGGAACAGCATTGCACACACGAGATGGAACAAGGAAAGGCAGGCGTGTAAAGGCATTGGCTCATTAAGGAGGGTCATGTCTGCAAGAATGGGAAAAAGGGAAGAAACCCTGGCTTAAGGAACTGGATTTGCTCTGTGAAAACCCCAGGCTGAGTGAAATAAAATAGTTCCCCTTTCCTGATGTGTGGGAACCCCCCACTGCCACCTCAATAAACTGATAGGGCCACCTCCTCACAGCCCTGCCTCCTGGGTGAATTTAATCTTCCTTCTCTTCCAAAATGCTGAATTTTAATTAACCCCTTCTTCTGAATCTTAATTTACCACCCATCTCCCAAATCTCTGCCCTGATTCATCTCTGCCAGAGCCCAGATAAATGAACCTCCAGTACAACCAGAAATGTTAATCATGCATCTGTTGGTAGACCACTAACTCCATTGATTCTGGGTTTTTGGTTGGGATGAATTTAGAACTGTAATTTCCCTTGATGCATTGGTTTATAACCTTTATTCTTTTAAGCAGTCCCCCCCCCCGCCTTTTTTTAAACAGAACCTCAATAATGTAAAACAAATCTTTCAAAAGGGAGTTTGCACCTAAAGAAGGAGATTGGGAGGCATGGTTGTATCAGGGCCTCTCCAGCTTGTCCCTATCCTCGCCAGCGCACCCAGTTACCTCCAAAGTATCTTTGTGGTCCACAGAATCTGTCTGAAAACCACAGCCTGAAAGTATTTCTCATACATTATGTATTTTTCTTTAAGACAAAACTCCTCAAGTAATAAATTAATACAATTTATTGCTATTAAAAATGTTCAAAAAATTCATAAGTACTATAAATACAGTATAAAACTTTCACCCCAACACCATCACCAATCCATTCCCCTCCCTAAAAGGTTTCCTCTTTATAGGTCTGAGATACATCCTCCTCCTTCCAGAACCTTCTAATGCCTTCCCTTTATCAATATATACAAAGACTTTTTTTTTAAGAAATGTGATCGATCAGACTCTGCATTTTGTTCTCTGTATAGTTTTTCTCTTTTACAATGTTTTATGGACATCTTTCCATGAGGGTGCCTACAAAGTATCCATGTTCTTCTAAGTTTCTACAGTCTTTTAATAGAATACTGGCAGAATATTCTATGGTAAGGATGGAGCATAATTTAAATTAACCATTTCTCTATTAATAGACACTAGGACTGTTCCCAACTTTTTGCCATTTCAAATGGTACTGCACAGAACATCCCTGCACATACATTTTGTGCCTGGCTGAAAATATTTCTGTTGGCTAGATTCTGAGAAATGGAATTTCTGGGTCAAAGCCACATCTAATTTTTTTCACAGTTGACTGCTTAGATTCTAAGAAAAAGGCCCCTCAGCCAGTGGACTTCTCATAGCATTTCATCTCCCCAAGCCGGCTACCAGCAGCGAGGTTTCTGCCTCTGACAGTTGGGCATCCATCCTCCCAAACTGAGGCAAGAACATAACGTAGAATTTGGACAGAGAAGATAAGAAGGACCATCTTTATTTCCTTCGCTGGGTTTTAGAAATGTGCCTGGAATGTGACCAAAAATGGTTACCTTCAGTAAAAAAGACAAAGTGTTCACACTAAGAACAGTGGAAGTTCTGCTATATGACTTGTCAGGTCAGAATTCCACCCGGGGCATAAGGATATCCAGCTCTATCAGAGCAGAACGGGAACCAGAACCTCAGTCAGACCTGACAGAAAAATGCAGTTCTGGAAAGATTCCCACAGGAAGTCAGGGTATTTGTTGGGGTTTGTTTTTTCTACTGAACCATTTGCTGCCGATGGTGGTTTTAGTTTTGGATCAGTGGTATGCTGTTAAATGTTTAATAAACAGTTCTCCAAGGGGGAAAAGCCATGATTTGTAGCAATGTCAATTTGGAAATAGTCCAAACAGATGGAAATAGTCCCACGATGGCTGATTTTAGGCTTACCAACATGATGTCATTAAACTTGGGAAGAGACACACCAGTTCAGTTCGTGTAAGCCAGCATGAACCAACTCCAGCCACCGCTTGGGATTGATTGAAAGAACAAGTGCATGAATCTGAGAGTGGGGGGGCCAGGCAGGAGTTTAAGTACCTTAGAAAGTGCCAGAAAGCATCTTTTTTAGCTAGCAAGAAAGGAGAAGGATGTCTTCTCTTTAATGTTTAAATCCCTTTTATGATGTCTCCCCCTTATGCCATAATGCAAATTTCCCCAGATCTTCAAATGCATTTTTTTTAAAGCTAGAGGGATTAGAGTAATTAAGGGCACAGGATTTGGGCAGCCCATGGACCTGGCCCTGCCACTTAATATGGGACCTGGGGTACAGTTACTTGACATCTCTGGGTCTCTGTTTCTTTATCAATGAAATGGGTTCTTGACTCCAAAGAGTTATTGTAAAGATTCAGCAAGATAAAGGAGTAGAGCATTTAGCCCAATATCTGAGAACGCGAATGCTCACTAAATGATAGCTGTTCAAGATTAAAATCCCTATTTTAAAGAGCAACTAGCTCTACAATGACCAACGCATTGAGACAGCTAGGAAAGGAAGAAACTGCGGAGCAGAATTTTACTGACAGATGAGATCCATGTTCAGTGGATGAATGGACAAACATATAGACAGAAAAAAAGCCATGCAAAGTCAACCAAAATCTGGCTGCAAAAATAAACAATCCAGGGAATGACCCCAAGAGGGAGATACCAAGGTTTTCTGTGCTTCCACCACTAAGTAACCAGCATCTCCTTTATTAACACATTCGAACCATAAGCTCTGAGCCCTGACACCGATGACTGTGCATTTCCAAAAGGAAACATCCATCCCCAGGGACCTGTAGATTCCAGAGGTTTCTTTCCCATTAGGCATAATGAAAACTGTAGATCAATCCCACTCCCTCTTGGATTTTATAGCAAGAAAGTGGGGCGGTTCAATATCTCAATGCAACTTTAAGCAGCAAAATTTTACTAAATGGCAGCTAGCATGATGCAAACAGAAGACGATCTTTGTTAATTACAGGAAGAGCCCATATTTGGATAGATTGGTGGATGGTTGGGTGAATGGACAGATTTTAGGATGTCCTTATGAGTTGCATCTGAGTCTCTGCTTTATTTAGGGAAAAAAAGACCTAAATTTCATCATGTGGCAATTCAAACACATTATCATTTCCCAGCATCCTCATTAATTCCCCTGCTAGCAGGAGAGTTTATTTCAATTGACAAGAGGATCGGGTCCACAACAGAGCAGAAACTGAGCCCTCAATAATGAATGTGCTAATTACCCTTCTCTGAAGAGATGCAAGCTTCTATTTAGGCAAAGTAAGGCTGGTTTTATATGTAAAGGCCCACAAGTCTTTATCCAAACCTTCGGGACCAGCTGTGTTTCAGAATCCTGATTTTTTTTTTCTCTGGCATTTAGAGAGGAAAGACGGGGCATATACCGTATAGAACATCACACTCCCAGAGGGAATGGGGCAGCACAATATCATCAAATGCTGGACTTCTGCAGGAAAAACAGTAAATGAATATTTACACTAAGTGCATAATAATGATAAAGAAAGGTCATCAATAGCCTCTCATCAGTTCTGGCCATGTTTTGCTGCCAAATAAGTTTTTTTTTGTTTTCAGTACCTTTTGGATTTTGGAATTGGAAAAGGGGCTGTGAACCTATAGTGGTGTTATTCTTGTTAGGGACTCACCTTCCAAGAATTGCCCGTAGGCCCAGCTGGAAAGAACAGGGCAGGCCCCTGACCAAAGAGGGGAGTAAAGAGTTGCTGATTTACCTTGTAGGCAGGGGAGAGCACACACCATGGGGTGAAGGTAGGAGTTGCTGCAATAGCCTCCTGGTCAAGTAGTCAATCCTCCACCCCCAGCAAGATTATCTATGTTTTATTGCCTGGGACTGTCCCAGAGAGACGCCACTGGACCCACTCCTAACTGGGGAGTCCAGATGACTTCACTGTACCTTTCATGATGTGTGTCTAGATCAAGGGCTGGGCTGTCTCTTAAACAAAGAACCTACTTTTGAAAAGCATGTACATGGCTAAAAATCTTCGACTTTTCAAATATAATGCAGGTACCTAAATCCAACTGCTGTGTTATGATGGAAATAGCTGGCATTGGAATGCTTTCATTGGAGCCTGATTCTAACCTACAAAGGAGGAAACTGAGGCACAAAGAATTGAAGTAACTTGCTCAAAATTGCACAGCTAGTAAATAATAAGTGAGAATCTGAACTCAGGTAGCCCAGCTGCAAAGCCTGTGTGCTTAGCCACTAAATGATTGTTTCCTCTGTTTCTAGCTAAAGCCCAAAAGTCTTCCTTTAATTTTGGGAACAATCTGGTGTCAAGAAGAAAAAAGAACTCATTACAAATTGATATTTGCCAGGGGAAACTCCAGAATACAAAAGAGACCCCAACTTG